ATATATATATATATATATATATATATATATATATATATATATATATATATATATATATATATATATATATATATCTTATAACCCAGTTGTCAGAAACCGACAAATAACTAGAAACATATACCACTCCTAATTTTTTAACAAAGATCATGGAGGCAAATTAAGAATGAGTATCTAGAAATTGAAGTGGCTTTGGTATTGTTAGATTCAAAGTCTGCAGATTATGGGCTGTTCTACCAAGATGACAGCAATTAAAGGGCTTTTATATTGTTGAAAACAGCATCAGCAGGACGGCTGTCATAGCAGCAAAATGAAGATGAAAGAAAAACACAGATAACCTAATGTAGGGAACCCTCCTGATCCAATCTATGCTTAAGTTGTAAGTTTTGAAATCACTCACATAAGATTGCCAGATTCCCTAAACTAACTAAAAACAATGAGAAAAAATTAATTCAGAAGTACTAAAAAAAGCAGAAAGAGCTTCCAACATCACTGAAACCATGATGAACTATGTCCATTCAAAAATTAAGACCTGAGTGTCCATAGTGATCCTGCATCAAAAGATATTTAAGAAATTTGAGTAGGTTGACGTCCACAAGGAGCTTAAAATTTCACATGAAATAATATAATGTTTCTTTTATCTTTTATAACGTGTTAATTGTAATTTTGATCAAATGCAGTAATTATTAAAAGAATTAAAAGCTCTAAATTTCAGATTGTTAAATGTCAACATATAGCTAAAGAAGCAATCATGCAAGGAACATGGCAACTTCTTGTCGAAATTTAACTGAATGTATCAAAGAGATTCAAATAACAGGGCAGTTTCTTAACCAACAGTCCAGTTATAGCTAGCACAGCGAACTCTTCGAAAACCACTGACGCAGACCTCAAACATATGTTTTCCATCAAGCAAGCCTGAGTATGTAACTTCTTTCAGTTCACATGTGGAGGAACTGTAGTTATCTAACTGCATTATGTTCAAAAGGTCATAATTAGAGAGATTAAAACATTTCCAAATATATAAATTCTTTGTTCTACACTTCTACTAGTTGTCATAGCACATGTTTCAGGAAAGGAGTTCAATACAGCTATTCGAAAACAGCATCTGAGCTATTAATTCAAAGCATAGTCATGACATGGATTAGGATATGGAAAACATCTCATGCAGTGAGCTTTTCCAGCATGTTGTATCATGATGCACATGTCTGAAAGTAGAACTCACACAATTTATATAATAGAGGTAGAAACCAAGCTCACTAAGAATATCTATATCTAGCAAGTTGGTCATGACGCTGCATTCCAAGATATCTACGAAACATAGCAACCGCCAATACATGTATCTATTGAGGAAATCTTGTTTAACTCGAAAGAGGGACAGCCTTGGCATTAAGATAAGATTGCTCCTTTGCAACCTAGGTAACAAGGTTCAAGACAAAATCATCTCATTCTCTAGTCGTCTGATCCTATGTTGTTTATATCTCCAAGGACCAGTGGGACATATCTTAAGCCTGTCAATCGATAGCAACAATCAGTAAGACATAATTTCTAAAATATAATGAAAATAGATAATTTAAGCCATCCAGGGATATACAACAATAATAACAATAACAAAGTCGTAGGTCCCAACTATTTAGGGTCAGCTACATGGATCTTTTGCCGTCAAACTTAAAAGTTTTGTCCTTAGAGGGTATGCCAAACTTAAAAGCTTTGTCCATTGGGATCGAAAGTGACGAGAGGCTAAAGATACCAAAAATTTAACTATCTTTTCTAGTTAACTTTGATTGAGCATAGAAACTATATTGTGCATTTCTATCCAAATGGTTCGAAGTTCAAACATACTTTAAAAAAAGTTGATCACATATACAATTCCCCCCTCTTTTTTACCTTTTTCTTGAAGCTTTTTTGACTTGTTACTTTTCTACTTGTACATGTTAATCAGCCAAATTTTTCCTAAACTTAAGAGTTGTATTAAAAGAACCAGAAAAGTTCTTTCAAGATAACAAAGTGCTTCTTTCCAAACTTTGTAGCATTCAACCTAGTGTCCAATAAATGCTAGTGCAACTTTAGAGCTCAATTGCAGCAGTGGACATGTATAATACTTGAAGGGCAAAAAAACTCTGTCAACTCGCAAAGCATATTCTTTATTCCTAAAGTACGCACAGGAGAAAACATTTACAATAATTACTAGGCCATAGTAAGAGAAATGAAATTGATGTCTTAGCATTTTTATATTTCTGTTACAATTACTGGCATCACAACTGTTAGTTGCTTCATATAATCTAATCATCTTTGAAGCTTTATATTTGCTGGTATAACTATTGCATAAGTCATGGGGTCCTCCAAAAGGAGCCTCATACTCTGATATATGTACTCCTCAAGTATCAAGGTGAAGCCAAAGCTACACTCTAACTTTCGGATCAATCAACAAAGACTAAAAGGAGCAAGAAGCTTTAATGCGATATGCTGTGCATGGAAGAGAAGAAGGGTTTGAGCCCACAAACCTTGCAGCTGACACTGCAGTTGCGGCATGAGCCGCCATTCCCCCCCTCTGTGACCTCAAACTGAAACGTAGCCGACGAAGATGACGAGAATGCCGAAGGGACCTTCAGGAACTTCACCGCGGCATCTGAACCAGCACCTGCATGGGCTGCCGGAGAAACTAGAAGTATAGCGGTGACAATCCAGGAGACGAGCGGAGGGAGACACTGGGCTCCCCTGCTCCAACCCATTTCAGTAGCACTCAGAGTCGTGAGGGAATTGGTGGCAATGCGAGATGGTGAACCTGGCCGAGGACTCCACGAGAGGCTCCTCCTCTGAGCCGAAGAAAACTTGAATCTGGAGATTCTTGATTTGCTTGGGATGTGCAGTTCCGGGAGTGAGAAGTGCTTGGTGAAAGCTCGAAGGAGGTGAGAAAGGACAGAGCTGCGCTGGTGAGTCTTGTCTCTCTCTGTGCCTGTGGGGAGGCCCCCTTACTGCAATGAATGTCTGTCCTTTGTCTGCTTGTCTCTCTCTCTCTCTCTCGGACAGAGAAGGAAGTAGGAGGAAGAAAGAGAGGGGAAGGGGCTCGGAAGGAGTACCAAGATCTTGTGGTAGAGAGATGAGGATGGTTGGATGTGGAGTATCTGTTGCTGGATACTGTACACGAGGCAGACTGAGGCCTTTTTTTTTGTTTCTTTCCTATTTGTTTTTTTAATTTTTGTGAGACAATATAGCAAATCTAACTTAAGATTCCACAATACAATACACACCTACAGAAGTGTAATCAAACTCTTTTACTACTACTGCAATTTTTTCGCACGAAAAATCCGCAATTTTATGAGATTAGCAAAAATACAGATATGCAAAAAAGTTTGATGCATGAATAAGGTGAAATAAATAATGGGTTGGAAACTTTTCCAATTTTTCACGAAAATTTAATTATCATAATTGAACAAAAAGATTGAGAACCACTTCAACAAACAGAAAGAAATATTCTGTTAATGTAATTCAAATATGATTATATACATATATATTAAGTGTATGTTACAATGGATAAAGATGTGAATATTATATGAGTCTAAAACAATAAAGAAATTAATTCAGATACATCCATTCCATTTATTGGATAGGAAGATGAAGAAAAAAAGAATATATCATGATCCACATCTTAAAAGATTCTGGATTGCAAACCTCGAATATATATATATATATATATAAAAGGAATTGGTGCTATCAACCTCACATCTGTAAACAGTACAGTTCTTTATTACATGTATGTCAGTTCTTTATTACATGTATGTCACTGACAAAAACATATATGATATATGTGTATTATGTCATTTTTCTATCTAAACGGAGAAGAATATCACCACACATACAAATATATATATATATATATATATATTGTGATATTCTTCTTAAATAGAAAAATGACATGAAACACATATGCCATGTATGTTTTTGTCAGTTATATGCATGTGATAAAGAACTGTACTGTTTGCAGATAAAAGGATGAGGTTGATAGCACCAATTCATTCTCTCACAGATGGGTTCCACATATTCCAAGTCAAGTCTACATTTGTAGGACTTGTCCAATTAGATAGTCTATAAATAATTTATGTCCCAACTCATGCAAGTTATTTGAGACTTAAATTACAAGGTCTCTTTTATATATATATATATATATATATATATATATATATATATATATGGACTTAGTACGCAGTGACAGCTAGGTGTCCTTGAGATAGGGTTGATGTGAGCCACATGCATCCATGAGTAGGTCACCTACTTCTTCATTTGAGGGTTTGTGGGAAGGAGAGAGAGAGAGTCACATACTTTACTGTCAGTCTCCAGCTTCCATGAGCTCCACACAGGATAAGCAACGGCAAGGGATTGACCCCCTCCAACTTATGGTGAGAGAGGTAAGTTTATCCTGGATTGACAAGGGATACAGTCAGTAGATTTGGAAACCAATACTGCTCACTCCTTTTGGATTTGTCCCTGCTCCATTTAGTTATAGCCAACACTAGAATAAGAAAAAGCTATTTTGGCCACCCATCTTCTCTATGCGTTTGGATTTGGCATCACTTGTGAATCTTAGTTTCCTCCTCATGCATCTCAACTGAAAAAAAGCTTTACATGATCAGTAAATTGCATATTCTTGTAATACATAACTGCTGCAAACAACTACATCCAGAATTCTAATTGTAGGATAATTTACAGTAAAATATAAGCAGCAGAGGCACAAAAAGCTGTTCTGGATGTTATCTGCTAAACCTCCTCTGGAAAGAACTTCTCTGCACAGGTAGAGAGAGAGAGAGAGAGAGAGAGAGAGAGAGAGGGAAAAGGCATATAAATGCAACAAATAGGAGTCAAGTCACAAATTATGACATGGTTTCAGAGAAAATGACATGCCTTGGCCTATGAGTGAATTGTGGCCAGTCATGCATGATTCTTCACAAAACAGAATTCCACAAAGTTTATGTTGTTGGCAGAAAGACAAAGCAACCTCAACCAGAAGTTAATACAACAGCTGAAACAAGTGAAGTCCCACATAGCTGGCAAGAGATGCTACACCAAACACATTTACAATCGGGTGAGTTATATCTGCTAGCACTTGATCACATGCAAATGCAGGTACATGTTTAGCATAAGACATTAACCAGAGAATCTAATCAGCTATCACAAGAAGCATGCAGGATTGTGTTGCAGACAACTTCTCAATGGTGTGTCATTTCTTAATACCCATTTATAATTCTTTTAATAATTTTATTTCATATTTTTTATAATTCTATTCCTGTATGCTCATTTTCTCTTGTTAACCTGAATGTATCTGGTTTCTACAACACATCTGCAAATTTCTTGGTTATTTTTCATGCTACCTTTTAAGTTTTTGGATTTATATATTATGACATTACCTGGTTGTGATAAAACCAGTTTCCTGGGGAATCATTTTTGTCATTGTAAAGATCAAACAGCAGAGACAGGCTTTAAAGTTCATCAGAAAAGCTGCAAAGAAAATTACTGACAAAAAGAACACAAAGATTCCATAGATCTATGATCACTCACACACTTTAGCATCCTCATTTAGGCCAAAATGAATGCAATGCAGTGCCAAATAGTACAGCATGTGAACCCACCTAAATGATTGTCAATGGGACTAACAAAGCTGGGGATCAGTATATGTTTAGTTTCAATCAGTCCTTACTAGCTCAAAAAGTTTGGTACAATGCACAGAACTCCAACCAATATAGGTTTTAGAAGAGAATACATGCATATAATCTTACTGTTGTAAATAGAGAGGTAATACCCTAATCATATGGCCCCCATGCTAATCAAATTCCTAAATCTAGATACTAGTTGAGACAGATTATAATTTACTTTCAACACATTGCATCACCATGAAATTTCAGAAAACTGACAACTAACAATCTTATAAAAGAAGAGAAAAGAACACTTTGAATGGGTGATATGACATTTGACAAGAAAGCCAACAACTACATCACTAGGTGCCATTCATAGGATATAGTTTTATTACAGGGAAGATAAGTATGATCTCAAATGGTGTATGTTAAGCCAGTACAGGTGTTGTACAGTATACCAGATCATTTAACCATTCCTTCAAAGTTTGGATTCAGAATCCTGGGCAGGTATCCATGGATGATCATTCTACAAACCAAATTTTGTGCCATAGAGAACTGACACCAATGACACCAAAAATAAGTTGTCATCTACTATTTGGATCCAGATTTGCGGAACAAGATTCACTAGATATTAAGGTACTTGTGATGTGGTAACAACCATGAGTTTCATGCTTCTGCACATTCCATCAGAGGTAAACTGAAATCTGAAAATAAATTAATGTACTAAATCTAGGTCTTATTTTTTGAACAACCAGCTAGTAAAGACATCAATTCATATTAAGATCAGGACAATCCAAAACTATGATGTATCCACTAAAAAAAATAGAAGACATAAATAGAGAAATAATCTTAGTTCCACTAGAGGCAAGCATGTGACTTGCTGAGCACATAGGAGGAGTTGCCATCTGTTCCAAAAAAATTGTTTTCTAACAGTCCAACCAGGAAATAGAATGTTTATGATTGAACCCCAGAAACTTGAGCCTCAACAACTTAACAACACCAATGAGGCTTTGGTGCACTGGTTGCTATCCTTATTTTCCTCTCTGGACTTCCCAAAATCTAAAGATTCAGTCCCTTGCTCAGAAGGCTTATGATCTGAAATCTATCATGCCAGTGATTTTGAATACCATCCTCTGAATTTTTATTTAAGGCCCTCCATGTGCAAAAGATCCATTCTTTAGAATTCAAAAGAATCAGCATCATCATACCCACCTCTTTCATCGCATTTCTGACCTCATTATAACCTTTCTAGAGATGTGGTGAAGAACACAAGGCATGCTGACTAAAATTTTAGGTCCTATTCTGTAATCAGTGAAAACTATCACTAGATTTTCAGCATCAATAACCCTAGAGCCTTAAACTTCACCATGTACTTGAAAGTTTGTCTTAACAGCATGTTACTAATCAACATGAATTGGAATAACCTTATCGCATATCATCACTTAAAAGAATAATCACTGACAATTATTCTCTACTAATGTTGTGAATTCAGAAGGTTATTGATTCTAGTAAATCAGCTTATAATTACTCCATTGAACTCATCAATCATTCCTTTCATGAGAACAGGCAGCCTTTTGCTTATTGTGGCCTCCTGACACACGATTGATACATCGAACTAGTAGAATCAGGTATGTTGTAATTTATAATCTGTCATTTCTGACATCACTAACTCCAAAACATCGTATACCTTTGATGATTTTGGATGCATTACATCCCAACTAAAGAATGTATGGAACTGATCTCTTATCTGAATTGAACTGCACCCTCCCACCTTCTTCTTTCCTAATCGTCTCATCTGAGTTCTCACCTTTGCTACATCTTTCCATCTCCCGCACGAAGCATATATGTTTGAAAGCAAGACATAACCAGCTGTATTCTCTTTCTCCAATTCCCACAACCTCTTGGCAACCCTCTCCCCAGTCTCTTCATCCCTAAAAGTGGAACAAGCACTCAACAGAGCGGCCCATGAATTAGCTTCTGGCTTAATGGGCATTGTGCTGATTATCTCTTCAGCTTCTCTCAGATGACCAGCTCGAGCAAGTAAATCAATAACGCAGCTATAGTGTCTCGTGTTAGGTGAGATGCCGTAGATCTCTTCCATTGAGTCAAAATACTGCAAACCCTTATCAACCAAACCGCAATGTGAGCAAGCAAATAGAACAGACAAAAATGTAGGATCTGTTGGAGCTATTGCTGCTCTTTTCATTTCTTCAAACATGGTTATGGACTCCTCTGCGAAACCATTGTCCGCAAGCCCCTGGATCATTGCAGACCAGGAGACCTCGTTCTTCTCAGGCATCCCATGAAACACTCTCTTGGTACTCTCGATGTCTCCACATTTTGCATACATATCTACAAGTGCTGTTCCAATGAAAACCTCATGCTGAATGCCAATCTTCACAATCCTACCATGGAGGTTCTTTCCTTTATCTAATGAACACAGGGATGCACAAGCAAGAAGCACACTGGAAAAAGTCATCTGGCTTGGTGGTAGTTCTGAAACCAGCAGGTTATCAAATGTTTCCAGCGCCCGCATGAATTGTCCGTTCTCTGCATAACCTGAGATCATTGCATTCCAAGATGCAATATTCCTCTTGGTCATTGCTTTGAAAAGCTCTTCAGCTTCTTCTATCCGATCATTACAGCTGTAACCTGCTACCATCGAGTTCCAGCATACTATGTTCTTCTCCGGGATCAAGTCAAAAACCCGGCGTCCATCTGCCACGTCTTTGCACTTACAATACATATCAATCAGAGAGCTCCCGACAAAAACATCGGTTTCAAACCCAACCTTCAATGCGTGGCAATGGACGCCACTCCCAAAGAGCAAATTCTCACAGCCAGATGAAGCGCTGATGGCACTGGCTAAACAGGAGACGTTCGGCCTCTGACCATCGTGAAGCATGAAGCGAAAAAGATTTATGGCTTCCAATGCTTCCCCGCTCTGACCATACCTTGCGATCATCGTGCTCCAAGATACCTCGTTTCTCTCTGGCATCTCTTCAAAGATTCGACGCGCTTCCTTCAAGTCTCCCATCTGCGCGTAGACATCAAGAATGGCCGTCCACGAGACGACGTCCCGTTCCTCCATCTGGTCGAACACAGTCCTCGCCACATCCACATCACCCATCCTCAGATACAGAGTGATCAACGAGTTCTGCACCGACACATGCCCATCGAAGTTGGTCTTGACGATTAGCCCCACGACGCTCTTCCCCAGCTCGAACTCGCCCGCTCCCACGCAAGCCTTGAGGACGCAGGTAAACGTCACCTCGTTCGGCATGAGACCGGACGCAAGCATACGGCGGAAGTGCACCAGGGCGTCGAGGTGCAGCCCATTCAGGACGAACCCGCTTATGTACGCAGTGAAGCAGATGACGGTCTTGTAAGGGCACCTCTCGAAGTAGCCGGCCGCCTCACCGACGCTGCCGCGCTTCATGTGTCCGTCGACCATGAGAGTCCAGGTGACGGCGTTCCTATCGGGCATTCCGTCGAACAAGAGGCGAGCGGTAGCCAGGTCACCTGAGCGAGCGCTGTAGGCGACCATGAGGTTGCGGGAGAAGATGTCTGGGGGCCGGCAGCGCTCGGCGAGGAAGAGGTCGCGGTCTGCGGGGTGGCCGGCGAGGGCGTACATGGCGAGGAGCTTGGAAGAGACGGATCGGTCGGAGGAGACGCCAGCGCGGAGGGCGTGGCCGTGGAGGGCGAGGCCGAGGGCGGAGAGGTGGCCGTCGGCGGAGCATAGGCGGAGGAGGGAGGCGCAGGTCTCGGCATAGGATTTGAAGGACTTGGGGGACCTGAGGGAGCCGCCGGCGGCGAGTCTCCGCTTGAGGGTGCGGAGATGGGAGAGGACATGGAGGTGGTGGCAGAGACGGGTTTGAAGGAGTGGGAGCAACGGGTTTAGCCTCAGCTTCCGCTGGCTCCGGTTCATTCCCTCCCTTTATTGCCTCATAGTTTGAATCAGCGCAGCCACCGCTCTTATCCAAAACGGTAGTCTGTAGCCAATGTGTTCGACTCGAGACCTCTTCGAGTTAAAATGCGTGTCAACTCTTATGGACTTAATCATTGAGGACATCAAACGTGGAGATTTTAATTTATTTTCTGAGAATGAAATTATTTTCTATTTTACAGCTTGGAAAATTATGGTCCATTTTTTCTACCTCAATAATTATATAATAATTATACGATAAATTTAAAAAAAACACTTATTTTTTATTTTTCCCAAATGAGCATCTTTTTGGTTTATCCTTGTCGAACGTTTATTTTTTATCTAAAAAACTATATTACTCTTGCCTTTATGCCATTAAGCACCCATCTACTTTTGTCTTGATACCGTTCAATCAAGAGAGCATAGTAACTCGAGAGATGGTGCGATAGTGTTTTGACATGGTGGGGTATATGAGAAGGAGGATAAGGAAGTTTTATTAAGGTCGATGATGAAATCAATAATGAACGAGTTGAAGGATGATAAAACAAAGGTGAACGATAATAAAGAGCATACTACATGTTACGGTAAATAACTTTTTTAGCCGTGACCCTGGGGTCGACGTGGCCGGTTTAGGGGTCCGAATGGCTGGGATCAGGCGCAGCTCCTCTCGAGATATTGTGGGGGCCGATTGCGGGGGATTTGGCTGGAAAGGTCCGCGACTCCGGGTAGGGTCAGCTTCGGTCGAGTACATGCACACAGGTCGGGTCGGTGGTTCGGCCCAACCCCTCCGACGATCAAGTCAGCGATCCGGAGAGGAGTTTTTCTGGATGCCCCCTTTGTTGGGAGCCCGGGAGTGTTTATAGGTGAGTTTGATGTTACCTGATGTGCCATACTGCCGGAGCAGGACCGTACCTCTGATGGCATATGTCGTTGTCGTGGGCGTTGCGTGGAGGGCCGAGCTGCCGTAGGGTATGGCGAGCCTCGGTCGACACCTTCTCCTGCCTCGACCGGTTGTGGGGGGTCAGATGATGAGGTCGCCTGGGTACGGTGAGTGAGGGTGCACATTATGTTGGTGTTAATGCTCGCCCCCTAGGGCAATGTGCCGTCCAGGGGGTGGCTGACGTCGTGGTGTGTTACGTCAAACGCGGTGTGTTACGTCAAATCAGTTTTTACCTCTATCACTACACATATTGCACAATGGGATCGATAGGGTGGAGATAGGACACTTTCATCGTTTAAAAAATAAAGAGTATTTGTTTGAGAATTAACAAAAAAAAAAAGCTTCTTAATGAAAACTTAATTTCTTTAAATGTACCCATAATTGTATTTGATGGCTCCTGTTTCCCTCATATATAATTAATTATATTACCAATTTTTTCAACAATATTTTTTTTAGTAAAAAATATAATAAGGCGAAAAATATAATATATATATATATATAAGATTTTTTAAGGTAAATTCATCCTATAATTTTACTTTTTTGAATGCAAACATGGTAACATCAGTGTGACCTATTGTTTTGTTTGTATGTGGGCAAATTCTAGTATCTTCTAACGTGCACACTTCGATTGGCTCTTCATTACAGCTGTGGACGTATGGGTACATAGAACTCCCCATGCAATTTTTACCATGAGAACACGGACGTGTTACCCATGTAACGCGGCGGTTCGCCCACCGGCGTCGGTGTCTCTTCTCCCACGCCAAAGGATACCGTTCTCCTCTCCAATCGAAACCAATGGGACCCTCCAACCCCCGACGAAAGGCATGGCCGCCACCTCGACCGCGTCTCCAGCTTGAGGTGTCGAACGCTGGTGCGTGTTGCCAGCCTCACCTGGTGTCTTCGTCCTTCCTCGGCAACAACCGTCACGTTTTCCAGTCCTTGCTTGAGCGTGATGACACCAACGGTAAGTTTCTTGGTGTTGTTGATACGTCGAGGTTGGATCATTGGCGACAGGGGTCTATGCGTCTCCTTCTCCGTTTCATCCAGTGCACCACAGCGGCCATTAGGAACCTCAGAAGAGCAGAGCCAAGTTACGGGCTGCGACGCTGCGCATCAAATCTCACACCCTTCCCCACCGCTAACACCACCACCACAACCACAAACTTCGCATGCCCCACAGCGTGGTTTGTGGCTCCTGCTTCTTCTTGCGTGGCCCTACTTCTCTTAATTATTCCTAAGAATGACGTAGCTGTGCCTTGGGAATCATTTGCGGTCTGCCTGGAGCTTCTTCGGATACGCTATATGTGTGCATTCCTGCACCACCATCAGATATCGGAGCTGTTGTAGTAGCAAGTGACCGACGACGTAGCTGTTGATTGCCGAAGGCCAGCAGCATGCAGGAGAAGGAGGAGGTCTCCAAGTTTGCTCTGCCGGTGGACGAGGAGCACAAGGCCACCGAGCTGCGCCTCCTCTCGGCCGCCGGCCCTCACATGCGGGCCTTCCACCTCGCCTGGCTCTCCCTCTTCACCTGCTACTTCTCCACCTTCGCCACCCCGCCCCTCCTCCCCGTGCTCCGCCGCCACCTCCACCTTTCCCCCGTGGACGTCGCCCACGCCGGGGTCGCCTCCGTCTCCGGCATCATCGTCGCCCGCCTCGCCATGGGCCCCGCCTGCGACCTCCTCGGCCCCCGTGTCGCGTCCGCGGCCCTCGCCCTGCTCACCGCCCCCGCCGTCTACGCCGCCTCCGCCGTGTCCTCCCCTACTGGCTTCATCGTCCTCCGCTTCGTCGCCGGCCTCTCGCTCGCCAACTTCGTCGCCAACCAGTACTGGATGAGCTCCATGTTCGCCCCCGGCGTCGTCGGTCGGGCCAACGGAGTGTCCGCCGGCTGGGCCAACGCGGGCAGCGGCGCCGCGCAGTTCCTCATGCCGCTTGCTTACTCTTTCATCCTCCGACTCAGCGGCAGCCCCTCCTTCTCTTGGCGCGCTGCCTTCCTGATCCCGGCGACGCTGCAGGTCGTAGGCGCTCTCGCGGTGCTCGCCTTCGGACAAGACTTGCCGGACGGCAACTTCGTGTCATTTTCCAGATCACAGGAGAAGAGATCGTTGAGGAAGCCAACGTCGAAAGAAGGCTTCTGGGTAGTCATCGCCGACGGCCTGGGCAACTACAGGGGCTGGATACTGTGCCTGACCTATGGCTACTGCTACGGGGTCGAGCTGGCTATGGAGAACGTGGTGGCGGAGTACTTCTACGGGCGGTTCGGGCTAGGGGTGGAGGCGGCGGGACTGGTGGCGGCCTGTTTCGGAATGGCCAACGTGGTGTCGCGGCCGGCTGGCGGGATGATCTCGGACGCCATGGGAAGGAGGTTCGGTATGCGTGGGAGGCTGTGGAGTCTGTGGGTGGTTCAGACCGTGGGAGGGGTGCTCTGCGTGCTGCTGGGGAGGATGAGCTCGCTGGGGGCGTCCATGGCCGTCATGTGCTGCTTCGCTTTCTTCGCGCAGGCTGCCTCGGGGCTCACCTACGGGGTGGTGCCCTTCGTCTCCAAGAGGTATGCTCTCTTCCACCTTCGTCTCCCCTGTTTCACTCCCGTCTTCTCGTTCCAAGCTTTTACTCGGTTGAAATCCTTGATTCTAATGGGACAATCCAAAATGATCAAAGGTCGCTGGGAGTGATCTCGGGGCTGACAGGAAGCGGCGGAGCATTAGGCGGAGTGGTAATCCAGCTGCTGTTCTTCTCAGGCACCAAGTACTCCAAAGAGACCGGCATCTCCCTCATGGGAGTCATGGTCCTCGTGTGCACTCTGCCAGTAAGCTTGATATACTTCCCACAGTGGGGAGGCATGTTCTGTGGCTCATCCACCGCGGAAGACGATGATCCAGAGGAAGATTACCACTTGCTAAAGTGACATCTCAACCCACCTCTGCTCCCAACTGTTGTACTCCATTCTTCCCCTGTAAAATTCAAGGCTGTGGTTTGCTGTGATGTCCATGTTTATGGTGGTCAGTCCTTGTACAGATTCCCTCTGTTAATTGAGTTCAAACCATTATGGGGTTTGAATTGTCAATGTTTCTACCTTCTATGAAAACGTTCATGGATTCTACATATATTCGCCAAGTTGACATGAGTTTATTTACTCGTACAAAGATGAACACAGCATGACAGAAGTCACTGCTGATCTCCGGATATAACACATTAAGTTTTGGCTCTTCTCGTTTGCCTGACATGATCACGAACTAACGCATGCGTCTTCTGCCACAGAGTTCGAGCTTCGAACTCATTGCCCGCTAGACTCGAGCAAGAAGTCTCGTTGCAGTCCACGAAGTACTTCCCGGAGACGCCGATCAGCTGTGGGCTCAAAGCCACATAGCAAGTGGTGGATGCTCCCTGCAACAAGGAATAACAGTATGAGGCGTGCGAATACTCGTGTCGCATTCGAAACAGGAGGAATCAATCATCGAGACCTGTGATGTCGATTTCAGTAGCCTTGATGCCAGGAAGAACACCGAATCTGTATGATATATATAATCAATAGTTTTCATTCGATTCAATTGATGTTATGGTGACAGAACGTTCATATATACCTGTGATCAAGCCCTTATGATCCCTGATGATTCCAGTCTTCACTACTCCTGGATGCACTGCATTGATAGTCACCATTGCATTTCTTCCCTGCAAGAAGATGTATTTGCAATTAAGCTTCGATCTCGTGCAAGTTCCAAATGACACTGCATGTTTTGTTGTGCATACTCGCAGTGTTCTTGCCAGCTCCTTGGCATGCATTATGTTGGCCAGCTTGGACTGCGCATAAGCTTGCGTGCCATTGAAGCTGAAACAGAGTAATCATTTCCAAGGTACATGAAGTCTGAGAAGTATTCTTTCTCATGTTGATGAGGAAACCATAAGCAAAGGAAACATACTCCTTGGGATTGAGCATGTGGGAGAGCTTGAATCTTCCTCGTTTCACCCATGTATGTATCACTGATGACACGTTAACAATCCGTCCTTCGATTCCTGTTCTTGCTGATGTCTCAATCATCTTCTCCAACAAGTTCTCTGTAAGTAAATAGTGACCTACAGTGGATCAAAGAAACAAGAATGATGGTTTCTCTCTTCTGAAGGCAGCAGGACTCGACTCGAGATGATGAGTGACAGATCAAGAAATAGTCCCACTTTCTTCTTCTCAAGCAGATCTACACGACATGCATGCATGTCCTTCCTGCGTTATCAACGTAATAGCAGAGCAATTCAAGCATGCATGCATGGATGAGGAGAAAGAGGACTTGCCCAAGTAGTTGGTGGCGAAGGTCATCTCAAATTTGTCTTCTGTGAGCTGCAACTTCTTGCAGTATTTCCCGGCATTGTTTCTGCAAAGATCAGTGTCAGCTTTTGAATCTGAATGCTCGAAGAATCGTGAGCATGCAGCACTGTCTACTTCTGACTCACACGAGAATGTTCAGTGGTAATCCAAGAGACAAGAACATGGAGCAGAATCTATTGATGGAAGCAAACGAGCTCAGATCCATCTCCATCAGAATGATCTCTGCCTCTGGACTCTCTCCTTGAATCCAGTCTTTGACTTCAGCAGCTCTCTTCAGATCCCTCGCCGGGATCACCAGTCTCAGCCCTCGTTTGGCCAACACTCTCGCCGTTTCCGCGCCGATGCCCGATGTCGCTCCTTCGATCACGGAAACCAAAGTAATGTTCATGCAGATGATTAACAATTCTTGATGCTAATTACTGCATACGAACCAAGGCATTTGGTCGAATACTTGATCAAACTGTATGACGCTTTTAGGACAATGCAAGCTTGTCCCATGAAACCTACCACCAGCCATGCAATGATTAATTATTCCCTTCTATCCTTAAACCTACCATACTTTAGTATCCTTAGTGAAGATTCGATCAAGCAAAATATGCATTGGCACTACTCCATGTTACTGAATCAGGAACATTAGAGAGAGAGCGAGAGAGAGAGAGAGAGAGAGAGAGAGAGAGAGACTAACCAGTGATG